CGGCCAGATGCATACATCGAGACGCCCAGTGTTCGTGCGACAGGAGTAGGCCCCAAAAAGCCTACATCCGGCAAACGGCCCATCACTATGAGACGAGAGTAATTGTGTTCGGAACAGTGAATCTGCAAGAACAGCATAAAGACACAAAATGATCGGTTGGGAAAGTTTATGCCAGGCTAGCTTAACAAGGCTAGAAAATAGGGGTATGGGTGGACAGAAGGAATACTGAGTTAATCCATGCTAAACATGCTTAAATTCTCGAGCTATTGCCGCGAGCAGACGTTTAAACTGTCCAGCTGAGAGCGGCATGATTCGCTGTGTAATAAACAATTCCCTGTCTAAAAACAGCAGACCTTCGATGCGTTGTCCAATTCGTTTCCTAACTCGCACAGGATGGAAGTGGGATGCAAGCTACCGGCTACGGAGAATCCATGGTACCAATCTAGCTTCGACTGCTTGAGCAACCAGCGAGTGCCTGTACTCCCTACCGACTGACAGGTAGCTATGCACCTAGCGATTTCAAATTTTCTGACGTCCGTAAACAGCCTCGATCGACTGGGCACCATTTTTGAAGTTTTTTTAAGGACTGACCTCGAGAAAGCATCTCGAACATACTTAACCGAAAGTCCATGGTTCGAACCTAACCTCAGGGTCCGACTGCTCCTGTCTAGGCTTTGGTAATCTGGCAGTTCCTCAGCTCTCGTGCTTTCTCCGGGTGGCATAGTGGCTAGGTACCGACAGTGTATTACAGCTGAAAGTTTATCATTAAGTATTATCTGAAGGTTGTCACGGCAAAAATCGTTCAGCCGTAGCACCCTTTCGGTGCCTAACTGCCATGCCACCAGAAGGAAGCACGAGGGATCGGATACTGCCAGGTTGCCCAAGCCTAGACAAGGGAAGTCGAGAGGCAGAAGTCGGGTTCGAACCACGGAACTTCCGGTCAGTAAATTTGCGCTCCAACCACTGACCTACTCTGAGTACTGGTTTGGCGGACCGTTTGATCATTTGAAGCGGTTCACTCAAGAGCTCACTCCTCAAGAGTTCGGTTTTGGAAACTGCCAAAAGCTTACATTCTAAGAAAAATCAAGGCGTTTTGAGCCAAACACGGCGAGAATAGTGTTAGAAAGATGAACACCAAATTACCTGGAACGAACAGGCCAATTCACGACACAACGCCTCTTGTCGCCAGTCTGGCGAGACATACACATGCATGTAGTATTTCCCCGGCTGACATGGTGCGACCTGGATCCGGACCACATCGGACTCGTCGAGTATTTCGACCAAACACAGACCTCGAAGCACGCTGTGGTCAGCACAGTTTTCCAGACTACACGAGATGCCAACAAACTGTGGCATGTGTAATTTGATGGTCACCTGTGGGGTAAGAGAGTGATACTCGTGGTTATAGACAGCATATGTAGCATTCCCAACAGGGTTTCACTGTTGCGCAACTCCTTCAAGTTATTTCGGTGGGAAAATCAACAGAGTTAACACAAACTCGCGCGACCTCCGGACCTTTTCTTATGTGACCTTCGACTCTTCACTGAATGAACGACTTATCTGCTCAAATTGCAACTTCAGAGTACCCAAATGAAACTATGGCATAAAAACGCTCCGCCTCAGGGCATGAAAGATTTTGCTTTGCTGATATCTACCGTGTGGCGGACGGTCATCAACTCCGACACTGTTCGAGAAGTACAACGGTCAGACGCAAATCGCGTGGCTTTTTCGAGTCCAGAAGACGATAGGAACATAAGAAGAAACGGATCGACAGATTTAAGACTGATGGAATGGATAAGATGGTTCAACGACAGGATAGAATTACTTCTATGTTTAAGACCACGGACCGGTTCTGCGACGACACTAAATTAAGGAATCGTGCTGCAGAGAACCAGGCTACTCCAGCCTTGTTGTTTTCCAATTCCCGGCTCTGGTATCCCAACGTATGACGTCTCAAAATTTTCTGAATTCCAACAGGCTGCCAGAAGTGAAAGTCTGAGTAGGACGCGATCAATGTAGTGTGAAGATGGGACACAGCGTTGCTCAGTTCCGGTCATTAACGGTGACAGTCTGGCTTTGCTCTCTCGCGTTCTCCAGTGCAACGCCACGTGAGGTGATTACGAAGTGACGGTAGTCACATGGGAAAGCCGAAGTAGCAGTAGAAATATAGTATAGTATAATACAGTATAGTATATATAGTATATATATATATTACTAT